CACCTAACAGGAATACCACAGATCGCAAAACAGAGTGATGTGGATCAAGGTGTACTGAATAAACTACGATGTGAACTCGAGAGAGTAGGGGAAGAGAAATGAGAAGGAAGTATGCGAGAAGACACGTGGCCGGTTATGGAAGAAAAGGAGAATTGATTAACTCGACTAGGAATGAGAAATAGGAATTTGACACACAAGGATACAGAGACACGTGGAGATAAGTGTATCTCACATCCCACCAGCAAATTATAAATTAAATTGGATAATTTGACCTAATTTTTACGAAATGTCGTTTTTATATTAAAAAAACACGACCAAGATTTTTGAACCGAGTTAGAGGATGCTAGCCACCATCTTTGGTAGAAAAGCGCCAATGTTATGAAATTTATTTATTTAAATAATTTGTACTTATATAATTAAAGTAGCCCATCCGTGTAGGGTTGAAATTTGAGGGGAGAGCCAAGTGGGTGTGCGATAGACTTACCTCCACGTGGTGCACCCTGGAAATATGCCTTCACTATCAACATCTTATTTGGAAGCGGAGGGGTGTGTGCGATAGACTTACCTCCACGTGGTGCACCCTGGACAGCGTGCGATAGACTTACCTCCACGTGGTGCACCCTGGGCAACTTTCAACCCTTGCTGGTTTTCTAAACAATTATTCTTAAGAATACGATAGACTTACCTCCACGTGGTGCACCCTGGACAACGTACTTTCAAATGGCAGGCGTTATGATAGGTATCATGGGGTGTGCAATAGACTTACCTCCGTGGTGCACCCTGGGCAATGTATATTTAGACTTACCTCCACGTGGTGCACCCTGGGCACCGTATACTCATACGGCAAAAAAGTCTATTAACCGGCAGTTGTTGCGATAGACTTACCTCCACGCGGTGCACCCTGGGCAACCCACTCATACGGCAAAAAAGTCTATTAACCGGCAGTTGACTTATCACTTCCATACGGCTACCTCCACGTGGTGCACCCTGGGCAACGTGTACTTACAACCTCCATGTGGTGCACCCTGGGCAACGTATACTTATGCGGAAAAAAGTCTATTGACTGGTAGTTGACTTCTCACTTCAAACTACCATCACCCCACTGTATAGTTGACCACTGACTTCAAACTACCATGACCCCACTGTATGCCTTGACTTCTGACTTCAAACTACCATGACCCCACTGTATGTTACAAAGTATACTCATACGGCAAAAAGTCTATAAACCGGCAGTGGACTTCTGACTTCAAACTACCCTCACCCCACTATATGTCACAACTTCTCACTTCAAACTACCATCACCCCACTGTATGTCATTGTGTATGCGCATACGGCAAAAAAGTCTATAAACCGGCAGTTGATCTAACCCTAACACGGCAAAAAGTCTATAAACCGGCAGTTGACCTCTGACTTCAAACTACCATGACCCCACTGTATGTCATATTTGGGCAACAGACCTCATACGGCAAAAAGTCTATAAACCGCTGGGCAAGTATACTCATACGGCAAAAAAGTCTATTAACCGGCAGTTGTTGCGATAGACTTACCTCCACGCGGTGCACCCTGGGCAACCCATACGTCTATTAACTGGCAGTTGACTTCTCCCTACACCTTACCTCCACGTGGTGCACCCTGGGCAACGTATTCTCATTCGGCTACCTCCACGTGGTGCACCCTGGGCAATGTATACTCATACACCTCCACGTGGTGCACCCTGGGCAACGTATACTCACGATAGACTTACCTCCAGGTGGTGCACCCTGGACAACGTATACTCAAATGACATACCTCCACGTGGTGCACCCTGGGCAACGTATACTCATACGGCAAAAAAGTCTATTAACCGGCAGTTGACTTCTGACTTTAAACTACCGTGACCCCATTACTCTTCATATTCGAATAATTCCACAATATTCACCTCACCTTTTTTCTACCTTTGTGTCTGTCTGTCTCATTTACGTCTGTGAATCATTATTCTGTCCCCCTCTCGACTTTTTACCACTTGGATGTTCATCTTCCTTTCTGTGAAGCCAGAAGTCAGCTAAAGGGCTAATGATACCTATCATAACGCCTGCCATTTGAAATAAATAAATAAATAATTAAAGTAGGTGGGTATGTGGAAATGGCGATTTTATTGAGGTTCAGAGGAATTTTACTTTTTTCTCCACACTGGTAGGTTAGAATGAGCTTTCAGGGATTTTGTAAAGAATCTTGGGAAGACATACCTTCAGCAAGTTAACCACTCACTATTAACTTCCACTGAGTCCGAGCTGCCACGGTATAAGTCAAGTATATAACGAAGAAGCGTCTGCATTCATTTCCTCGGAATTAAAGAATTTTCGACCAATACCCAGCGATTTCATTTCCTTTTCACTGTTACCTGTAATCAGGGATAAATTTTACGGAATTCAAACAACGTAAACTAACGTGAGATATGCATGGCGATATACGTTTAAGTTATTTGACTCACCATTTAACTACTACAAGAAAATTAATTAAAAGCATGTTAAAATTCCATTTTTCGGATTCGCTTCATTGTTTCGTTAAATTTATGTATTTTCGCGTTTATTTGGTTTGAAATATGTCTTCGGAGGGATCATAGACACATAACTTATTGAATTCGATGGTATTTTGTGCCAAGTATATGGGCACAAGATTTCCCTAACACGGGCGAATCAAGTGTCCGCAACGTAAGCCTCTGAAGACAATATTTGTCGACAGGATTTTCTCAAATGAAAGTACTTTATTCGACAATTCAAGGAATTATAGCCAACAACTTAATTGAATCTCACCTCCTCCCTCAAAACGCAAAAAATATCGAGATTTTTGGATACATTTGGCGAGAGAGAGAGAGTGAGAGGGCTTGTATGGGGGTAAAGGTATGAGCAGGGGAGAAGTGGGCAGTGGTTGTTGGGTTAGTGTTGGGCTTGATTGTGCTACCCCATAAACCCGCCTAGTGTACCTAAGTAGCTTAGTTGTAGGGGTGGTATTCACGCTCTCCATATGTGCTATTCTCACAAGCTAGTTAAGTGACCAATTTTAAACGGCTTCTCAATGTATCCATCCGTCCATTCAAAGTAGGGACGAATTAAAAATATCTTGGTACACTCCTCAAAACTCTTTGATTTCACTTTTGCCGCAAAAAGCCCTCTGTGCGCTAACATTCATCATTAGAAGGGGGTATATTCTTTTCCACAGAAAATTCCAATCATCTGTTATTTCCTAGGCTCTAAATATCAAATATTTAACTTTCAGTAAGTTCAGCTAAGGGGTTTAAAAGAAGAGAAGGTTAGTTGTGTGAGTATTCTAATTAGCAATGTGAAGCCAAATGTAGTAAACTCAAACTCATGGGCGAGGATACTTATACAATGGCATAGCGTGGAGCTGACGGCTTGCACATTAGCCATATTAAGTTGACAGATGTGTCTATTCATTGAAGAAATTTACTTGTTGGCCCCTCTAGATCCTTTGATCAGATATAATCCAATGAAAAATGTCCTGTTAACCCATGCAAAATCTATGATCCGTCATGAACACTAATCAGTACTTATTTATTTATTTATATCAAATGGCGGGCGTCTTGATGGTTATTATTAGCCCTTTAGTTGACTTCAGGCTTCACAGAGGGAAGGAACATCAAATTTAAAAAAGTCGAGAGGGGGGGGGGGGAACAGAAGAGTGTTTCAAAGATGTAAAAGAGACAGAGACACAAAGGTAGAAAAAAGGTGAGGTGAGTACTGTGAAATAGTCGAATATGGCATAAAGTGAGGTGATGGTAGTTTGAAGTGAGAAGTCAACTGCCAGTCAATGGACTTTTTTGCCGTATGAATATACGTTGCCCAGGGTGCACCACGTGGAGGTAAGTCTATCGCACACCCCCACTAATCAGTACTTGGCCATGGCAAATGGCAGGCGCTTTGACAGCTATTTACCTGCCTTCGGGCTTAATAGAGAGAGGGGGGAGGTGTGAACGAGATGGACAGACACAAAGAGTGTTAATGAACTAGCTAGTGGACGAATAGCGATTATCTTAAGTGCGAAAGATTGATGTACGAACCGTCTTCACTAGGACAATGGCACAAACCAAGTCCCTCGCCGTCGCGTTTTAATGGAGATTAAATGACGAATTAAATTAAAAGCTGAAAACCACAGTTCATTTGGATGCTACACGAATTATGTGAAAATGGATGGTTTAGAAATCGAAGGAAATAGTGTCTTTCATATTTTTCGTATGAAGAAGATTAGGCACTTAAAGTGATATGTCTGGTCAAACTTGAACTAATGAATAAACAATTGAGTTGGTGGTTTTGAAGCTCCTGCTTCCTTGCCTCCCACTTAAATACTTCCATTAAAAGCGATCTCCCCCCCCCCTTCTGTTCTTAAGTGTTACATTGTTTTCGCATTGTCGAAGATTGCATTTTTTTGTCCTGTCATCAAAAAAAGTAAATTAAGTGGTTTCTAATGTTTTACTTCCAATCATTTCCCCCTTACATGAATCCTATGGTGAACATGGAATCAAATGGATGCACCACTCATTATCTCCACATTTCCCTGTTCTCGTGACTGATATGAGTCACTCGTCCGCCAAAAGCTCCTTTAGAAAGGTTCGGAACTTAAAGTGAGCCAACTTGGGTTGATTTTAAAACTCCGGCGGTGCATTTCTTTGCTTTAAAACTCCATTGTAATGTAAAACTTGGGATTTCAGCTTTATGAAAACACCCATTCTATTAGGATGAATTGACGTTATTCATTGGAATTTGTACTTTAAAAGGTGCTATTTGGCTGGTCAATTGATCTTCATTCCACCACACAAAGACTGCACGGGTGTACTAGTAGAATTTATCGCATTAATTTCATTAATCTTAAAGCAAGTTTCATTATTCTCAAACCGAATGCGTTAAAAGAGGAGGATTTTATTCAAATAATATGAAAAGGATTTCTTAAGATTTTCATGTAATAATAAAAATGGGAAACAATATCTTCTGCATCTTTTCCAGGTGTTAAGATATTCTTTCGGGGTCTTCTCCAGATTCAACAAGGGTATCAATTGAGAATAACATGCGATTGTAATGATGGTCCTTTGGTTCTTTCACTTCAAAATATAAATTACTGTATCATTCACAAATAATAATGAAGACAACTTTGATTATTTGAAATAAGCGTACCTTCGGTTTCTAACCCTTCTTGGTAGATTTTTACTTGCTTTTTGGTTGTCACTTCTGACTTAATGGAATTGGTTGGGCACTGATTTTCAACTGGGCTAAGTTTCTGCGTTCCAGTTGGTTGTGGACTACTTCGTCTCCCCAGCTCATTGAGAATGCTTAACACAAAATCGCAGACATTTTGACGATGTGTAATAAGCGATTCTTTTGTTATCAGCTTGCCGGGGTTAATCTCATGGATGTTTGACAATGACCTGATATCCTCTAGGATTAAATTAAAAGCAAGCATTGAATGCGGATCGCGTCTCTAACTATAATAAATGGTATATTTGGATATGTGCGCGTTCTTCAGTTAAAGAAGAAGTGGAAAGTTGTCAGTTGTGACAAAAGCCAATGCAAATTTGTAAAGTAGTGCTCATCCTCGTTTCTGAAGGACTCTTATCTCCTCTGTTCTATTTAAGTTAACTTTCAACAGATTGAAAGGAGTGAACCAGTACAACAACAAACAGAGTTCTGACTTACGAAGTCAAATGGATTTCAGAAGCGTAAAGCATTTTTCTGTTTGACCCTTTTACTTAAGTCCATACCAACTTCAATAATTTTTTGTCTTGCCAGCTACTTTGTAGACACTTTCGTAGCTGGGATAAGCCTTTCACTTGTCTGCAGAACGCATTTACCAACAGTAAATGCTGATCAACACCTAGGACTTGCATATACCCAATCAACTGGATATTAACTTATCAGAAAATGAAGTGAGATTTTCCATATGCGGAATTAACGAACTAGATCCGGTATTTTAGGTCTTTAATCGAATCTGAATTGCCACATTAACTATTGCACTACAGACACAAAATGATTATCGTTAAGATACCACCATAAATGCTTTATTTCCTTCTACAATATATTCCTCGAAAATAAATTTCTTAGAAATGAAAATATGTTTGTGGATTAAATTAGCCAAGAAGAGCACAAAGTTCATTTTTATACTTTATGACATTAAAAGGGTAATAATGCAGTAGCTTACCTGAAATTGAGGTATGCAGAGAGAGAAGATTGGCGACATGCTTCTTTGTGAGAACGACACTTTCGATGTTACCCTGGTTAAGACTTCTGGTAAGGGCCAAATAATCGAAGTTTACACGGTTGGTTAGGCAAATTAGACTCGCTTCTATGAGTTGATAGAAAGAAGTAATTTAGAGATTAAGCAAGGAGGTAATTCAAGATTATGCCTCTCATCATGTATCCCCCCCCCCACCCACCCACCCACCCACCCCCAACCCTTTCTCGTATTCCTCCCCATTGTTATTGAATAAGCAATGGGTGGTGCTTAGGATGTCCAGAAAGGCGTAATTGAAATCCCATTTCCGCTTCAAAGTGAAATTTTGAGGAGGAAAATGACTTCAAGCTGATTAGAGACGTGAATCAAAGGTGGCCATGGGTTATCATTATCGGCTCTCGCTTGCACAAAGCAGCATTGGAACAAAACACAGACATACAACTGACTTCATCATAACTAAATAAACTAGTAATTAAACGGAATTAACTTTAATTGACTGCATGATTTTTTTTCAAGGAAAATTATGTCTTAATGTAAAATGATTACATAAGGTCCTTAATATATATATATATATATATATATATATATATTGTTGTTGTTATTATTTCAAAGTTGGAGAAAATAATTAATTTGCTTAAAGTTAAATATTTTAATTATTGTGTCTGAGAATGTAGTTTTGCTTTTTTTGCATTGTTTCGATTATAAAATAAACAAGACTTATCAGCAGTACCTACGACAATGCGTAAACAGTTTTGCTATTTAAATTGTGAGAAACGATGGACATCGGCTAACAGAAAGTGCCATTGAAGTACACTAACGTATCAGTAATTCACCTTCTAAACTTATCGAGTATTCGCTAGCTTACTTGAGAGCTATAGTTATTACTTACTCAAGCTTTACTAAACCAGGCCCTTTGGTAAAATGATCGATAAAGGGGACAACAGTTGACACAATCAGTTATCCTTCTTCAGGCTTCCTACCGGTGCTCTTGTGCAATATTTCACAAGTCCATCTACTCTGGGAGAGGTTGTTGACTGCCAAAGGGATATCTCTGGGCCTAACTAAATGAGATAATTAGAGTACCTGAGAGAGTGAGATCAACATCAGGATATCAATGAACTTCACCTCATTAGATTTTTTTCGAGCGGTGTCATGAAATATTACCGGAGTAGTTAGGTTATGTTCTGTAATTTAAATTAAATGAATTGCCATCGTCAAAGCTTGCTTTTCACCGATTATTGGCCGATTTCGTAGTCGCTTTAATTCATTTTTTCTTGAGATAGCCGAGCAGATTAGCCAATTTCATATCCTTTTCAACATCTTTCTTGATGGAGATGAGATAATGGCAAGTTTGGGGCTGGCAGAACTCGATATATATATATATATATATATATATTGTGATGTTTCCTTCAATTTTTTTACAATATTTACACAATGTAAACAAAAATGATTTCAAAGTGATTGGTTGTCAAAAGTTGCAACTGTAAGGTAATCAAAACAGAAGCTTAAAGCTCAGAACTACTTCCCATAGGGGGGGGGGGGGGTGTGCGATAGACTTACCTCCACGTGGTGCACCTTGGGCAACGTATACTCATAAGGCAAAAAAGTCTATTAACCGGCAGCTGACTTCTGACTTCAAACTACCCTCACCCCATTGTATGTCATATTCGACTACTTCCACAGTAATCACCTCACCTTTTTATGCCTTTGCGTCTGTCTGTCTGTCTCTTTTGCATCTGTGAATCACTCTTCTGTTACCCCTCTCAATTTTTTCTCACTCTGATGTTCCTTCGCCTCTCTGTGAAGCCCCGAAGTCAGCTCCAGGACTAATGATAACTTCACGACACCTACTTGACAAGCAAATTGGTTTGCCACTTGATTATTCTGCCTTTATTCAAAAAGAGTGTTTAGGTGGCAAAAACCATTCCTTGTATCTTTCATCTAGGTGAAAAAATTTATTATTTAAATTTTGGGATATGACAAAGGAAATTAAGTTGAAACTAATCTCTAGAGTTGATTTTTGAGATGGATTATCGAAAGCTTAACTTGGGTAGAGGTCAGGCATCCCTGAACCACTTCTATGAGGAAGCCACTTTCTTCCACCCTTCCTGTCGGCCAGAATTAACCAATGTGATTGACCAAACTTGGTGGTGAATATATGCTGCTTTAGATTTCAGTTAGCTCGCAAAATTGAACAACGAATTAGATTATCAGGCGTACCTTTCCTAATTATTCCGAGTCTGTGTCCAGAAATATCAATTTGACTAATGTAATCCACCTCCAACCAACAGGAGTGGAAAGAAAGAAAGTCACAAAGAGGTAGTAATTTCTCAAGATAGTCCACCTTTTCAAAGCCAAAACCACTGCACCTTCCTTCAGGAAGAGTTGGATCATACACCACGACCTTGAGTCCAAATACAGAGCATCGTCTAGCGACAGCTAAGCCAATTGCGTCTGAAAGTGAAAGTCATTTAGGGGGGTATTCAAGATATATATTGGATCAATTAACTCTCCAAATAAATAATTTGAATAGGCTCTTTACCTGTATGTACTCCCTTGTGAATGATGATGACTGTCGAGCTAAATAACGCTGTAGTGTTTAGCTTCGTGGTGACAAGAGACGACAACAACAACAAGGGACAGTAAGTGATATTCAAGCACATTCGATTACGACTATTCGAAACATCCTCCAATAGTTTGTGCTCTATTTAAAGTCATCTAACGTAGAGTGGAAATCATAGGCCGTTTAAAACACAGCGAGAGGAATAGTATTCAACGTGCATAGTAGAAGCTGAATAGATGGTATATTCGAGGACAAAAGTCCCCTTGAAAAGCTTCAGCACCCAACTATGACTCTGAAGTTAAGTCTTTACAAGGAAGGTGAAGCGATTTCCACACATTATTGAACACTCAACCTTCAAAAATGGGAAGATCGAACTTTCCCATACATAAAACCTGGTTTCGAATGCTCGAAGCCGATACAATATGGGTGTTTTGTGCGGTTGAGAACGGAAGTTGACTCATAGTAAGAAATAATAGAACACTAACTGCGAGAAAAATATAAATTATTTGTTTGATGGTCATAGTCATCGGTACTACGAAAATTTATTGGACAGAAAAAAGACATTGGGGAATAGATCTTCGTAGTTTCGAACTAAACCTCACTCCAGCAACAGAACAGAGAGTGCTACTTATGCTAGCCAACATAATTTTAACATGGCGACATTTCAATTTTTCTCTTAAAAGTTACTAACTATCAAATATAATTGATATACTATCTTAACTAACAATTTTATTAAATTTTCTTTAGAATTTAACAAATTTTCACCAATTCAATAAGTGGGAGGAGGAGCAAGATGGGGTTTGAGTGGACTTCCGACCCGTGCGTTATTTAATATTCACGCCATAGGCACATTGAGACCCTAATTAATCCCCCCCTCCCCCACCCGCCCCCTTGGTCTAAGAGCAGAGTCTACCACATAAGGACACAAATATGGCTGTCAAGTTTTAACACACTGGAGAAAAAAATAGCCGGAAGGAAGTGCGCTTTCGGGTCAACCGAACATTAGCATCTCTGCTGGCCAATAATAACGCAGCTAGCCAACTGTCCCAATAGAGAAACGGGAAATTGCTTAAATCGTGTAGTATCACTCTTAACTCAAGAAAACCCAAACAGGAAACTTAATTATGGCTAAATTAAAGCCACTTTATACCATATTGAAAAAGAAAAGCTTCATTTTAGATTGATTAAATCCAAATTGAACCCACTTTGTACTTACGCTTTATGAAATCCATTTGCAAATATTAGAGGAATATCATGACTAACAATTTCATTTTTTCAAAATGGCAAGATGCTCTGAGTTTTGTGGACATAATCCCATCCACCCACATTAACACGTCACGAGAATAGCTATTCTCTCAAGGAGAATATGAACGGCTGAGTAATCCCAGAAGTAAAATGAAGTAAATCTCTTGATGTCCTGGCAACTTCTTCTTGACCTATTTAATATCTCCGCTATCCCTCTTTTTTATTTCCATTCCTTCACTTTAATATTCGCTGGAGTTTTCCCTTTATCATGGGTAGTTAAAATGGAGATATATTACTCTAGTCTAGACAGCTGATTTAAAATACCTTATAATTGAGTGTTCGGTGACTTTTCAAACGCTCTGTTAGACTTGACAATAAGATTTGAAAATAAAGGGAATGTATGCTGTCATCCTTCCTAGCCTTCATATTGACTGGAAAATGAGAAATAGTTGCTTAGATTTCTGGTTTAAAAGGGGTTCGAAACGAATCTTGTCTCATTAGTTAGTAAACTGAAATGTGAACTTATCTAGAAAAGAACATAGGTCTCTACGTGAGAAAGCTAGAATACGGAGACAAATCGGTAACCAATTTAAGAAAAATTAAATAAGAAATAATTAATGGTGGGCATGAAAGCATGACATCAACACTGGAAGAAGGAGAATAGTAGCTTCATATCTCAGTAACACAAAACTTACCTAAACCAATGATTCCAACGATCTTTTCTCGGAGATTCCTCGTAAAGTACACACTTTCTGCTCGAGAAGTATGACCGTTATGGTTGGCTTGAATGGAAGTAACCTTGTAGTTGACTTGAAGAATCATTGAGAAGACTAGATCAGCCGCTATGTCTATATCAGGCTGGGGAAGTGTGATTTTGTGGGGAATGCCTAAAGAGGTAATATAGCATATGCTCCAGCAATAAAAGTATACTATATATATATATATATAATTTTTACTCTCAGTGTTACAAAAAAATTGAACAATTTAAATTGGAAGAAGCAATTGAAATCGATCTTAGGAAGGCTTTGTCAATGGTATAGGGAACAAGAAGTGGCGATAGCGAAATCGATCTGTCAACGAGTCAATTAATCCGTTTCTATCCCCTTTAGACTGAGGAATACTTTCCAAATGAGCGCCTTTCGTTCAAGAATCCGAAATTCATCAGTTGTGCCATGTTTATCAGTCTCTCTCCCTCTCTTTTTAAATTTTGATTGACAGTTTACCACCACAATTTACTTTGCATAATTTTGCGTAACTTACATCCTTAAACCAAGCATATGCATGAGACAGTAACTGCTTTAAGTTGGACGAGATTTGTAAGTTGCACAAAGTGCAGCTGAATTATAATTCTGACTTCAAATTAATCCATTTTTCTCTTCTCGGCATACCCCTTTCATTTTTTACTGTTGCCAGGGTTGCGAATCGCACCAATCTATATAAATAAAACTAGCGAAACCCCGAGTTTTATTTAAATATAACTGTAGGATAAACCATAGGCTTAAAATAAGCATTTTACCGCAAATGCTTCATTAACTTCATGTGTAAAGCCTATTAAAATGAACTAAACCTTGACCATAGGAGTCATTGTCGAACCTTCTATGTTGCAAACACGCTGTTAATTGACTCATATCTCATCTTCAAGACAGCCTAGCTTCTGTACCACACCAAAACATTAACGCAAACCCGATTTAACAATCCCAAATTTATTATTTAGCAAATGAGTAAAATGAGGAAATTAAGCCAATTTCTTACCGTTTCTTCCCAGGTAATCAATGGCGTCTTCCACTGAGTTATCCAAGGTATCAGCAAGGACAACAAATTGAAGATTTTTAAAATGTCGTAGAGTATCTTTATTGAAAAGACTCATGTCGTAGAACACAATTACGATTGTTGTATGTAGAATCTGTCGAACGAAAAATGAAGAATGAAGAAAGTGGCATGAGGAGCAGTAGTCTGCATTGACCAATCGCAAGACAAAGCCTGATGCATATCGAAAATCAATCTTCTTCGGGTCATATAGTCTTTAGTCATATAGTGACTGCTCCTGGTTCACGAATTTTTTTAAATAAAATTTTAGTGAAATAGAGATACTATCCATTTTTCATAACTCATGGGAAAATTTAGTCCCTGGTGAACTTTAATTTTAATTATGAATTTAAATGCTTTTTTTATAAAATATTATCCCACAAGTTGTTGGGTGTGTAATAGACTTACCTCCACGTGGTGCACCCTGGTTAATTTATACTCATATGACAAAAAAGCCTATAACTCGGCAGTTGACTTTAAATTATTATGATCAACTTGAAACGAAGCTATAAGACAAATCGCCCTTGTCATGGAGAATCACGCCTTCTGCAGATCCTTCAGTGGAATGCTGGAGGGATGTCACAGGACACGAAGATCCAAATCCAGAAAATTCTACTAACCTATGATATAGACATATTCATAAACATGGAAGTCAACCAACGGATGACAACCTCAAATACTACTAATTCTCAGGTTACTCCATATACCTTCTACCTAAATAACGGCAAGTTACAAGTGGAATTCTAACTGGAGCTAAAGAAGGCCTCACCTCACACTACGATCTAATCAAGAGTATGGGCTCGACACAAGACAAATGTGAAATAATCAGATTAAATGTTTAGAAATGTCAAAACAACTTCAAGATATACGCAGTCTATAATTCACCCCAGAATAGACCCAACTTTGATCTTCTGAACATCTCACACAAAACTGTAGTATTAGGAGATTTCAACGCCCATTCCACCAGATGGGGCTATAAGAACATAAACATAGCTGGAAAGGAAATCGAAAACATGCTTAACAGTAACCCTCTAGAACTTATTTAC